TCATTTTCTCGTAAGTATAGAGATATAATCGTAGTCTGTGGAGAAAGTAATGGAATATTACAAAATATCTTTCACGAGATTTGGACGAAAATAAATCGGAGCGGATTCAAAGACGAATTTTGGGAGGGGAATTTTTAAAATTTAAAATGATGTGGTCGAATGTTTCATATTACATATTAAGTGGAAAGATGCAGGCTAAACTCCGCTCGTGTTACAATTTTATTCGTTTTAATGTTTATACAAAAATATTTTTATTGAATGTATCGTGACAAGTTAAAATTAATAGTTACTGATATATATTGGATGTGGAAATTTCCCTCATTTCCCTCCCCGTGGATCCGCGCATGATATAAATGTGTGTTTTTTGTTTGTTTTCTCGTATACATACGTATATACGGAATAATATACGTAGGGTTTGAGAGTTATCGAATGCTGCGAAAAATCGATGTCGAGATTTTAACGAAAATGTTTACCCAGGCAGAGACTAAATGATCAATTAAATGTTCTTAAAATGTTTATAAAATTCCCTAAAAGCCAAGAAAATTGACATAGAAAATTTGATCAAAACCTGTTCAGATGAACAGCAACTCAAGCTGTTGGACATGTTACTCATGTAATCGAGACTTCTTCCTTTCTTTCAAGAGAACTCACGTTGCAAACTTTTGGTTTGGACTGTTCTTTACCAGGATATATCTCCTTTAGTTATCGCAAAACCAGTCGAACCGACAATGGCGCTGATAGACTTCACATGAACCTAAGATTACATACCAACAACGGCTGTCAATGACTTTTCAATTTCTAAGCAAAGAAATCGAATACACTACTTAGGAATTCTATGGAGAACATTTTTAACCTGTCGTAGGTAATACTTGAAAGCAAGAACCATTAAAATGATATTAAAAACAATTAAATCAGGGAAAATGCTTTAAAATTTACGGGAAATGGTAAAAAAGGACCGTCAAAATCGACGAAAAATTCAAAAGAAAAAAAGTGAGAAAGTAAAAATGACATTTCATTATAATCCGCCTCCTAGTTATTACCAGAGGGCGGATTTTCATGATATGACTCTTTTCTTTTCTCTTCAGAAAAATTCTGTTTAGTATAGAAATTTATTTTCTGTTATAACAAAGGGAAATGACCCATTTTTACGTAATTTATTGTATTTTTCGTGGATTTCGACTAATAAGTTATTTTCTACATGTTCCCGTAATTTTTAATGCATTTTTCGTACGCCTTTTTCCAAAATGGCGAGGATGCTGCAGAAAGCATACTGTTCTTTGGAATATGGAATTTGTGGTTGTCACAACTTAAAAGCGATTCGGAATATTTCATACTCCAACAACATGGTGCTTCTTCTTACTGACATACAGATGTGCGTTGTTTCCGTAATGTAGGGTTCTATTTCCATTTTGGAAAAGAGGGGCATTTCTTATAAAAAAAGTTGACACTTCATATAAAATGTTTTAATATAATAATTTATTTTTCTTAAAGACAAAATATTTACTTCAATCATTGGCACCACTTTCTCAACCTCACGATAAGCCGACGAATAATCATAAGTAATATTACAGCGCTTCTAGTGACACTTTACATGAATCGAATGGATAATTAAAATCACAGGAATTACGAAAAAGAGAAATATTATTACTCTCGCAACTTCTTGAACGATGGATTGAAGAAATGCGGGTAGAGAAGGGGGTATTAGTTATGAAATCGGCCACTAGATTTTATGAAGCCATGCCAATCTCTGGAAAATCAAGAGTATTTGAAAGTAGATTGAACACACGTGTGTATAAGTATTTTTCTGGATAATTTTTGGTTGTAACGTTCCACGTAGTTTTGATAACATAGTCTTTGTATTTTTCACCAGTGGTGGCTGGTGTCCCAACAAACATTAGGTTGCACCTCCATCGAATGACGGAAATGTAGTTGCACAGTTAAGTGATTCCTATTGTCTGAAGTCATGAAATAATAACAATAACAAAAAGTCATTTTGCTAAGCTTCCGGGCCCTAGTTATAAGACAGGATTAATTTACTAGAAAATAAGAACAGAAAATGATCTCAACTTGCGTGCGCAGCGCCGTGATTGGCCGACGCGCTGTCTGTTCAAGCGACCAAAGGGCTACGCGAAGAGTTAGAAAAAATAGGAAGGAAACTAAGAAAATAGGCACAGAAAACAAAGAAATACAATAATTAACAAAAAATGTTAAAAATCTAAAATTAAAAAAATAACAGACTAGGCTAGACTATGTAAAACTTGTTAAAAATTAGGTTAAAGAAACATTAAAAATAAGTGAAGTAGCACAAAACGTGGAGGCGGCATTAAAAATGTAAACTATAAATTGAATATAGGCCCATATTACAATGTAGAAGATTGCATGTATTATTTTATCACTTTCTCGTATTATTCATCTTTTTCTCGTATAATGTTACTATATTCTCGTATTAATATTGCGGTGTATGAAATTGTAGAATATTCTTGACTGTTGAATTTCTGTAAAATTGTCCCGCTCTCTGTATGAAATTGTGTTGTATTAATTGTCCTCTTGTGATTATGACAGTGCATCTACAATCAAATAATTGAAACAAAGTAAAGAATTTTTTTAAAAAAAGTACCGTGTTGTGACGACGGGAATGTCATGAAACGGAGCGACCAATATTTCAACACTTCTAAAAAGCACACAAAAACCAAAAGTCTTAGTGACATCTTGAATGGAAGTCAGTGGGAATTCTCCCGGGCATCCATAAGTGGGACAACCACAGGGCGATTTGTAAAACTATCAGTATCTATAAATAATAAGCAAAGTCGGATAATTACAGCGTTTATAACTCAAGAACGGCTGTACCAATTTTAATTATCTCTGATTTGTTGGATTCATACCGAATAGCAGAATAAGTATTAAAATATCGGAAATATTCACTAAACTGTAGAATAAAACTAAATATTCACGTCAAAAGCAACCCGCAACGTTTTCGGCAGGATTTAAAAAAATTATCGATAAATGACTCCTAGGGCATTAAAAAATAATGAAGCCAGGGGCCTCAAATAAAGTTTCTCACATCGTACTCTACAGAATCAGATCTTTTTGAACATTCTATTAAATTTTTGGGTGGGGGGATGGGTGGAGACGAAGGAAGAGAAAAGGAGATGAAGGGCAGAACAACGTCTGCTGCGTTTCGCTAGTTACAAGCAAACAAACAAACAAAATCCTGTGGAAGAGCTCTCCACAAGCAGCAGGCCTCCCGCTCACAGGCTCGAATTCTGATCACTTTGACTCTTTTGACTTCTGATCTTATCATAGGTGCTGTAATGGTAAATGCACCTACGTACTTATGAAGTACGCATTGCTTAAGGAGAGCAATGAATATTTCTTTCAAACTGTACGTGAAAGAAATATCACCCTTCAGACATGTTTAAATTAGGGTCGTGTCTGGAGCAGGCGCCCTGCCTGAGGTCATGGGTGATTGGGCACCCCAAACCGCTGTCAACGTTAACACGATCCAGACGTGGAAACAGGAATGTTTGGGATCTTGTGAGTTTTCAAAAGGGCAAAAGTCCTCTGACAGTTATGTCAGTTTATTGCGTCCAGGGCATGCCGAGTTCTGGCGGGGGTGGCGTAATGGCCTCGTAAATCTCCCTGTTTCCCATATAAGGATCCTGTAGCGTTGATATCGGACAGACAGCCTACAGACTTTGCTGTGTAAACTTCACGCTGCTCAGCAACTCTATTCTTCAATTAAACTTATTTTCATACTTCATCGGACTTGGTCTCTGTACTTGAAACCTCGCTCACCACCACGCTCCTCCAGGGAACTTAGCTTCCCTGCGAACTCAACTTTTTTGCATCCTATACTGGAAGCATTTGTAATTGCCTGCAATCGCTGCTAGTAGCACGACACCTACAGCGAAAGGCATTACAGTGCATTCTAGACGTAGCTAACTTGCAAATAAATGTTTATCACGAAGATAGGTGCAGATAGACGCAGGTGATAGAAATGTGTAGTGTTTTGGTTCATTTTCTGCCAACTTGTATATTGTTTAGGGTAGGGATTCCAGAGTTAAGAAAACGTGCATAGAATACACTTCTCCCCGTAGCACGTCACTCACAGTTTTTAACTTTTTGCCGTAAAATAAAATTTAAAAAAAAGTAAATGAAAAGGAAAATGTGTCAATGCAGTTTTCCATTTCAAGTAAGCAATTCTGTTTTCCATTGAAAATTAATAGTGTCCCATTGACTGATATTAAGGAAACAATTTTTTTATGTCTTTCTATTTAGTCCAACCTCAAATATAACGTCCGCTTATATGAATTTAGCACAAAATTAAGTACATTATGCTACGCCTTCAAAATTCTTTCAAATTTAATCAGCCTACGTACTGCTCGTTATGTATATTTCGCGAATGTTCATTCCTGCTTGAGATATGGCATAATATTCTGGGGAAATACATCTTGTGGCTCCCACACTTATAGATTACAAAAAAAGAATTGTACGAATAATTAGCAAATCCCACCCATGTGATTCTTGTAGGCCTCTCTGTATTAACAGTATTAGCCTGGAAGATTACTGCGGCTTGACCTTCGGTAGCAAAAAAATTCCACATTTACGATATCAGGGATAAAAAAAAATCGAGTTTTACAGAAGGAAAATCCGCGCTTTTTCCTACACCAGCGTTTTATAACTTAATATCTCTAGACTTCGAACACGGGAAAGTAAAAAGGAGTATGCAATGAACGAAGAAATATTACATTATTTTTCTAATTAGTATTAAATGTTTGTTAACACTATCAATTTTCTTTTCTTACAAGAGCGAAATTTTAAATTATTAGGCTCTCGTTTTACTCACTTAATGCGACTTAAAAGAGTCCTGAAGTTCCATGTTTAATAAACTTTGAATTTAGAAAAGTAAATGATTTATTAAAACAATCCAACTTCCGTGAAAAATTGAACGGTTGGAGAAATCATAAAAAATAATCACAATTTCTTTGTGAATTGCCTTGGAATATGACTGTAGGGATTCCACGCACGTGACAGGTCAATGTCTTTGTTTACATGCTTCCATGGCAACGAGAGGCAACACAAATCGGTTGGGGCAAACACTGTACGTTTCGTTGTTGTTGCTGGCGCATCTTCTGAATTTCTCAGAATCTTAATTCAGTAATTACATTGAAAATTCATAACTTCCAATAGTGTAAAAAACTATGTACAAAAAACCTGCAAGCCCCATGATTTGGTTCTTAACAAGAACAAAATAGTATGTCATCTGTTCTACATGACACACCAGACAGTATTTAAGTAAGTAGGTCACAGAATTATAGATTTTCTCAGGAATGTTGGTTTATTTTTGGCCTATACTAAGTTGTTATATATTATCACACATATCAAAGAGTACCAAATTGAATGATCTTAAGTTTTGAATGTTGGAAATTGCTTAGGGATGCCAAGAAACATTGAAATCATGACTACAAATATAAAATTTATCTTTTAGGAGTACCATGATTTTTAAAGTTATGGAATGGGTGACAGTGCTGAACCTGAACAAACATACGTTCCCACTTTACCCCTGTTCATAGACGAATCGAACTGTGGGGCAGTGAACACTTTAACATCTAACACAGAGTTAGAATCAAAAGAAATTTTGATTCCATCATCAAGTAGCACCAAAAATAATGAACACAGAAGACACAGGAGGAAGGTAACTAAATTTAGTTCTATTTTAATTCTGAAGTTGAATTTCCTAAGTTCAAAAGATTTTATTCAAAGTTGTTTCTGCAGGGAAGAAGATGTACAAATCATACATGTGAAAGATGCCACAAGATGAAAGAAGAAGTGCTTGTTCACACTTCACGTCAAAAACACCATTATCACCATCGTAGAAAGAGTTATTCACATACCAAATTACATGATAATGCTCAAACTTTATTACCAGAAAATCAAAGTACATCAACAAATCCCTTACCTGGGGGAGGGTAAGTTTCTTCAATTCTCTTGTAATACAAAGCTTACATAAGTTTTAAGGACAAAAATATAATTTTTTAAAAAGTTTTGAAATACATTTTTAATTTCAGAAAAACAAATATCTCAATTTGAAATGGATTTCAGTAATTAACAGTAAACAGAGATAATTATACAAAATTCTATTAGTTTCACATTTTCAAAATGTCATAATAATTTTTCTTATATCTGACATGATTTTTATGTTGTATTCAATTATTATTTTATATTTTGAAAAAAAAGAAGAAAAAAAACTTTCAAATTTGGTGCTTAAAAACACGACTTTCTCGTTTATTCAGTTTATTTACACTTAAAAACACGACTTTCAAGTTTATTCAGTTTATTGAGATAGATTGCTGGTAGTTTAATAGAGGAAAAAATCCTGATACATTATGCTTTTACCTAATCCTTAATCATGCAAAATGGCTTTTGGTCCTCCCTATAACTTCAAGCCCTATGTTGATATAAGACATAAAATCCCATTTCAAAGAAGAGCTGGATTTACTCATTTGGAGAACGCAAGCCTTTTTTGTAGTAGTACCTATTCAGAGCCTCTTTGTTTTTGATCTTGAATAAAAGAATAGGGAAAAGGGATTAATATTAAATAACATATTTGGTATACATATGAAAATAGAAAAACATATTTTTTGCAAATTAATTGAAAACCACTCATGGGAGCCTCTCCTGAACCAATGCTCCAAGCAAGTGCTTGTTCATTTCATGTGGCATGGCCTCAAAGATAGAACTTATAATAACAATCAAATGTGAGGGATATTTTAAGAATTTATTTTTTATAAAACAGTTATTTACTTATTTATGTATTCATAATAAATTGTGCCTATTTTTTTCATAAGAAATTTTGTATTTTATGTGAAGATACCTTAGTTATTTACATAGATGTTAGACATACTCTTATATGCGTATAATTTTTGGTGTAAGAGTGGTTTTCAAACGATGTTATCATGCTGTATAAGGAGCTAAGACTGTATTGCATATGTGTTCATCTGTTAATAATATGCTTTACCCATTTTTAGATTTATCCATTTCAGATGATTTTATCGCCATTTTCACTTTGCCTCTTTATTTTTTTTTTTTTTTTATAAGTATGCCTACTGCTGTGGATATAATATTGCTAATGAGAGTGTTCAGATTTTAAGAATTTGATTGAAAATTGTAAAGTAATTAAATGCATTAATTTGCATGCAAATTTTAACAGTCCCAATTAAAGAGACTCAACAACTTTAATTGAATAAAATAAATATAGAAAAAGCGATGTAACTGTACAGATACTGAAAAATATCATCTATTTAATGAAAACTCATGAAACTACTAGATCATACAAACATCCAAAATTATTCATGTATAAATAACACCTTGTAGATAATGTTAGTGATTATCGAGAACTAACTGGTTTTATTCATGGAAGTAACCAAATTGGCATTATATAGAAATTACATTGTGGTAGAAGGGAAACCAGGTGGATGCTATCTACACAGACTTTAGAAAGGTATTCGACAAGGTGAACCCTAAAATCTTAATTACTAAGCTGGATAACTTTGGTATAAATATGCAATTAGTTGCTTGAACAAAAGATTATTTTTGTGACAGATATAAGGCTGTTTTTGTGGATGGGCAGTTGTCACAATTTTATGAAGACCCTATCTGAAGTACCACAAGGATCACACTTAGGGCCCTGTTTGTTTAATATTTTTATTAACGATCTTGATTGCAAAATTTTGAATGCAAACTTTCTTCTCTTCGCTGATGACAGCTAGGTCTTTATGAGTGTTTAATCCATGGAGGATACAGGAAAAGCTACACTGTGATTTCGATAACAGCATTTCGGAAACTGGTGTAACAAAAATAAAATGTCTTAAACATTGAAAAACATTCACAAATCGCATTCACTTGAAAAAGTCACTCCACCACCTTTCAATATAGATTAAGCGGGATAGAACTTAACAAAGTTGACAGCATTCTTGATCTAGAAATCATATTTGATTCCATATTGAAATTTAATCAGCATTTTGATAATATATGCAGATCAGCTTTGAGAATGTGGGTCTATGTTTAGAGGCTGGGCAGAATTTTTGGACACTTTGGAACTATTACTTTGTTGTGTGTGACTTTAGTGACACCTTTACAAGAATATTGTTCGGTAATTTGGAACCCATCTATATCCAAGCTGTAATCTTGCCTTGGAAGTATACAGCACAAATACTTGAGGTTTTTTGCTTATGAAGCAGGAAGGGCCATCAGATTCTTGAAAAGATTCAGTTTAACGTGACTATGAGAGCCTTGAGAATACCTTCATAAGACTGCTAATGTTGGCAAATGAGTATGCCAACATGGTACATTTTTTCAATGTCTCGTTGAATTCTTTTGATACCTAGTTTTTGCGACAGAGGGGTAGGGCAATAGGTTATATTACTGTGATGATTTTCTTTTCAAATACTTTTTTCTGCCTTCAAAGCAGTTTTATAGTTAATTCAAGTTGATACTATAATTTGATTTCTGCGACATATACAAACGTATTTTGAAATTAAAAAAAAACATTTTAAGTGAAAAAGTAAATGCAATAATTTCTCTCATCTCCATGATAAAAAAAATAATGATGTTAATTGAAACCTTGAATTATTTATTACAAAAAATCCAATTGTTTGTAAGTGATTTTGTAAAATAATTTGAAGAACAAAAAAATATATCTTATCTAAATGAGGTGCTCAGACGTTCTCAGACACTCCGTCTATTTACCTATGATGGTGCCTATATATTTGTTTACCAAAGAGAGAATATTGCAATACACTGAGAGGGAATTATTTCCTTTCCAGAGATTATTTATCCTCTTTTCTTCTAGTGTAATTTTTTTGTTTTCTTATTTCTTTGTTATAATTTTTAAGGGAACAGTCAACTTCTGAAATTCTTGACACCTTTTCTCAAGATGATATTCCTCAAGGAAATGCTCCTGTTCAGAAAACAGAAATTCCACAAGAAGTTCTTTTTCTGGAGATAGAGAAATTGAGAGCAATTAACTATGATTTGAATAGGCGATTACAAACTAATTTGTCCAGTACAGATTCAGGCTGTCAGCCAAGTAAGTAGTTTCAAAGGTATCCGTAGTGTACTAAAAAGATATAATATTCCATGAATTCATATGACATTGTAGATTTTGGAAGACAGTTCATATAATACCCATTTATTTTAATAAGAGAAATTATTTGCACAATCAAACCAAAAAATTATAGCAGTGCTTTCTTGTACACACTAAGATACTAAAATTCTAACTAATTATATTTTAAGGTGCTGAGGATGTCATAAAATCTAAAGAAGATGAAATAAAAAACCTTCAGCTAAATATTTTACAACTTGACAAACTTCAACAAGATCTCCAAAGGCAACGAGATGCTCTAAAATCTCAGTTGGAAGAGACTAGCAAAGAACATGTATCAAATGAGGGGCACAATACTAGAATGAATGAACTTCAACTTGAAAATGAAAAACTTAGTGAGGATGTAAAATTATTAAAAGAATTAGTGTGCAAATACAATGCTGAATTGGCAAATTATCAGGAAAGATTAAGGAAGTATAAAGGAGATGATTCAGCAACACCACCTCACGTATTGGCTTTTCCCCCTGATTTTCAAGGCAAAGGTAGTAATTTAGCTTGGGAAAAAATAAACAAAGAAGCACTAGGGCCTCTGCTTCTTGCCTATTCAGAAACAATCCAAGAAAAAAATGATTTAATTCAGGAATTTGAAGAAAACCACAAGAAAAGTTTAAATAATTGTAGAACATTGGCTGAAGAGAATGGGAAACTTTTCCAGGAGTTAGAGGATCTTAAATTGAAGGTAAGATATGGAAAATTGCCAGATGATTTGAAGAATGATTGTGAACCTTAAATACTTTTTAAAAAATATTTGAAAATAATTTTATATCATAAAATATTGTCTCATTCTTCATGCAAGAGAATTTGTAGGGAATGTGGTGATTTTATTCTTGTCTCACCATTTTGAGATCATCTGTTAGTTACTATAATACAATTTGTTTAGTAGTAAAATTTGGTCTCTGAATATGGTGTTGTGATGACTTCTATTATTCTTCAGATCACTCCTGAAGAAAACATACATGCTGAGTCGTCTTTTATAGGAAAGTTCTAAAATATATTCAGAAAACTGTAAAATTTCTTACAAACTCAAAGAGTTTGTGTAACTGAATAATTTCAATCTCATTCTTTGTAATTATGAAATATTTCAATTAGGAATAATTAAGAAATAGATACTACTATCTACCCAATTTACTCATGGTTGCATGTGTAATATAGATGTTTATAATTAGCACAATTATGAAGGTGAATTTATATCAAATTTGTGGTAATATTTGCAAGTAATTTGAAAACTATGTTAAATTTAATTTGATAAATTTTGTTAATTTTATTTAAATCAAATTACCAAGTAGAACAATGAGTCAAATTTGGTTTTCATTTATTTGGCCAAATTTTGTGGTATATTTTATTCTAAGAAAAGTTTTGGGAACAAAATTTTCAATTTGTTCACTTCTGTTTCTTGCTATTAAACTCACTTTATTTACAGAATGAAGCAAAGGAAACACAATGGAATGTTCTAAAGGAAGATTCAAAAATTACTCATGAGCACAATGAGTTACTGACAAGTCAGCTGGAGGTTCAGAAAGAAAAGATCCAGGAAATACATTCAGCATATCAACAGCGGGGTAAAGAAATATTGTCAAATAAGAGTATTTTGAATATTTGATTTGATTTATGATTTCAAAGACAGTAAAAAATGTAGTATATGACATATGAGGGAGAAGACTCATTTGTTCACTTATTCCTGGGCTCCAGAATCTCTTCCCATCTTTTAATAATAAATAGTTGAAATATGAATAAAAGTTAAACCTTACAATTTTTTAATATTAAATGAATTCTAAGTTATATTGTATGAATTCAATATTTTATTTATTATAATTTTTATAAAACTATATTTAACATAACAAGAATATTTTATATAAATTTAAAAGAAATGTTTATTCATATTCCTGTAAAAAAATAAACAAGTTATAGAAAACTTACTTGTATCGGTATACAAACTGCATTTTTTTTTTTTTTTTGGTTTTTGTATTGCTAACAAAAAAGTAACACACCCTCAGCCCCTTCTCTTACCACTACCAGTAAAAAAAGAGTTCAATAAAATGTGCACGTAGTGAAGCTACAATTATGATCTGAAGTAAAACAAGGAACCATCTGAGTATTTGTTCATTGGATCGAAGAACTGGACAAAAACTACATTAATTGTTACAGCATATTAAGTCTTTTCTAAAATACAACACAAATATGAACTAATGTATTATATATCATTGTTAAAAAAAATATTATATTTGTGTTACAAATTTAATTGTTTAATGTCATCGGGCAATGTGTAAGACAAGGCAGAAGTAAGATTCCTACTTCAATGAAGAGAGGCTTGCAGAGATTACGTGGAGGCATGTTTGTTATTCTTCTTCTTCTTCTTCTTTTTTTTTATACATTTTGTCACTATTCTGCAACAACATTAAGTAATGTTGACAAGAAGCCGAGAATTTGGCATAGAACATACGTGTATGGAGTAATCCTCTGTTAACTTATATTTATATTATAATCTGTAGTCTGTAAGTCGTGTCAGGAGTCATGAAGAGGACCACCAGGTAGCATCTCCAAGTATGCGCCTCTTTCTTACGTGCTCCTAAGGCACTAACCAGCAGCCGGATTTGGGAAGGAATTAGGAAAGTGGTATGGTTTAGGACAATTCACAGGGGTTGGACTAGCCTTTATGAAGCAGCCATACTCTTTTTAACTGAACAAATTTTCCATCAAATTGTTCTGGAATCGAAAGAAATCGAATCAGGACCTCCTTGGCGAAAGGTGAGCATCTTCACCTTGAGCCTTGAGCCAACCTTTTTTTCTGCAATTTAAAGGTCTGAGTAAGTATAGGTTGAGCCTCCCCAGAATATTATGCAGTCTCAGGCAGGAATACACATTTGCATGAACAAACTGCATGAAGGCTGACAGAATTTGCATAACATGAACTTAATTAATGTTTAATTTTAGCTATATGGATATTCCATTTGAGATTTAACTGAATTGAAAAACCCAGAAATTGTGTTACATTAACAACAACCAATTGCATTTTGTTAATTTTCAACGGAGCATACCTTTGCCGATTTGAAGTACAAAAATGCAATGAAACTGTTTTCTTCCGGCAACTATTGATTTGTTATTATGAAACCAATTTGAAACTTCTGAAATCATACTATTTATTGTTTCTTTTTGACAAAGAGCATTTGTGTCATTGGCAAAAGAACATTTCTTCTATTTTTAATGGACTAGGGCATATCATTGACATATAACAGAAAGAGAACAGGACCTAAGATCAAACCTGGCGAGACCCCATTCTCAATTGGCAAAGAATTGGAAAGTTAAGTAATTAATGTTCTTGCAACATTTACCAGAATTCTTACTTCTCTGTTGTTATCTTTTAAAACAATATTCTCTTCAAAAGTATCGAGATGATATAGTTGCATTTTCTACAGAATTCTGCATTGCTTTTAATTTTGTTTCTTGCATTCAAAATTTTCTGATATTTTTCATTATTTTTGCTTGTTCTATTACTTTCCTTAAAATTCTTCTGTATTTTTTGAAAGAAGACATGGAAACTGGGTGATACTTTATGACGTTTAGAAGTAAAGTAAAACTACATATGTTTTTACTAATTTCTTGTGTGATCAAAGTATTGTTTTCCAAGAAAAGTTTAATTTTCTCTTTTTAAGCGCAAAGCTTACATTAAAATGAAATGAAAGTCTTGAGAAAAATAAATTATATTTTTCATTTGTGACAACAGCATTGTAAACTGCATCCCATAATTCCTGCAACAAGTTGCCCATAAATAATTGTATGTTAACTTTAGTAGACACAGTGCATTACTGAAATAATTTTCATTAATATTGGGCATTTACTTGTTTGATTGTTGATTTAATTGTTATAAATTAACCAGCAATGAGACTCAGGTCTGTTTGGAAAATGAGCATGAAGTCATACGTGTTTGATCTGTTCATATGCAACAAAAATGATATTTTTTTTTTTTTTTTGTTGTGGCAAAAGTGTTGATTTGAAACAAAATTAAGCCAGCACTATCTTCCTTTATTTAAAAAAAAAATGAAACAAATATTAATTAAAATGTTATTTCACTGATATTATTAGATGATCCAATAAATCATACTCTATTTAGAAGAGTTAACTAAAAAGTGGAGAACAAGTTTGTGAAGTCAATTCAACCATTTTAAACTATTTACTATGATTGCTAAGTTTTGTAATTTAGTTTCAGGCATCTCCAAGGATTTAGAGGAAGTATGTTCCAAATATCATACTTGTCGAGGAGATCTTTTAACTTTGCAAGGGAGATATACAGTACTTAGAGAAGAATATGAGAAGCTGAAGAATGATGCTGAAAGTAAAATCCCTTATTCAGTGCATGCCTCATCAGTTGCAGAGTGTCGCAAGTATGCTTTTCTTTCTTTATTCCTTTTTCCCCTCTCTTAAATTTTTTGTTTGTAGGTAATATGATTTCAGATTATACTTTCTTATAATTTTTTAGGCTATTTGAGGAACTGAAACTGAAATATGAGACAGATAAAAAAGAAATGACCATTAAAATAGCAGAGTTAGAAGCTGAGAAACCTCATTTAGAAGGCAAGTTAGCCACAGCTGAAAGTGAAAATGAACAACTACGTCATCGAGTACAGTCTATGGAGAAGTCTATTAAGTATGTAAAATAAATATTTAACTATTTCAGAATAAGGTTTTAGTAAACATAAGCTGTTTTCTTTGGTGAACAATAATTGTTGAATCTTTATTTGGGTTGTCCAATAGACGTTTTCAGTTTAATATATTTGGCAAGAGTATGAGAGAATTTAGATTATACAGTGTGTTTTGCAATGCAATAGCTTATGATTTGCAGTGATGAAGAGAAATCAGGTCTAATTTTTGTTGTATATATTTGTGTTTCATTGATGTTGTTATTTGCCTTGAATATGTTAACCTCTGAATACCTAAATAAGGATACTCTGACTCCATGGAGAACAATACTGTTAGTCTCCAAATTATCAATGTTAAGTGTTTGAGAAAAATTGGCATTTAAAATGTTAATAAGTATTTTGATGTTAATTGCTATTTCTTTGCAATGTATTTTATAATATTGTATTTTATTTGTATTAACATGAAAGAATAACAACTCAAGACAGAAGTTAACGTGCTGTTTAATAATTTATTGCCCAATTAAATTCAATAGTTTATTAACAAGTGTGTTATATAAATTATAAAAAAATTAAAAAATAATATAAATTATCTCTTGTATTTGCAAACATATTGAATGCTTTTTTACTGTGTGTTGCATTATGTTACAGGAAAACACAAGTGCGATGCGATAGCTTCCAAGGAAAACTTGTGGCTGCCCAGGTGTCACGTGACTCTGCCAAACGGCAGCTGCAGAAGGCCATGGCCTTTGCTGAGGAATTGGTAGAGGAGCAGGAGCAGCTCTTGAAGCAGCTGCACAAAAAGCAAGAGGAAACTCGCTCCATTGCAAGACTGGGATCAACTATTGTGTATCGTATGGGCTCCCTTCGCACAAAACTAAAGGTAGCTTCAAAACACTGACATCCTGTTCGGAAACTGGACAAAACTGGTGATAAAGAAAAAAAACACATTCACCATTTGTATTGCCTTGGAGGTAGAAAGGTCCTCCTATGCAACACTACTGATTCCTTGCAATTGATATCAGATGGCTAATGAACCAATGTCAGTAAAATAATAAAAAACCTGAATATATCATAATACTTCTGATAGTTCACCTTTTTATATCTATTTCTTGAGAATATAGCATCCAGCTGTTGGGCATTCAAAAAGAAAAAATTTGTATTATGTTTGTTATTTAGTGGTTTCAAATTCCCTCTACAAATGAAAATTCTTGAAATTCCTTATTATATTTTAAACATGAAAGAGTAATGTGTAATTATAAGAGAAGTTTGTGTTTTAAACATGAATACGATCTGAGAATTTCTGATTATTCTTTATGTGATTTGTTCCCAGAGCGTTCAGGAAGGTGCATGGCAAGAATTGGATGTGATTGAAAAGCGAATTAAGCAACAAGAGGCAGGAGTGGACCATATGAAGAAGGAGTATCACCAAGAAGTTGTGCGATTGAGGAATCTAGTGAAACAGAAGGAGACTATTATTGGACGACTACAGAAAGAGAAAAGGTAAATAGATCCGAATGTGATTACTTGTACATTTTGGCTCTTTGGAAAAGTAAATTTGAGTTAGCACAATAAATCTTCTATTCTTAAATCTAAAGATTATACTGTTGATTACTACTTATGATTGTGATTATATCCATAAATGTGAAATATTTATTGTGGTATAGAAATGTGGGAGACTGTAAAACAAGGAAGCTGTCATTATCTGCAAACTTATATACTGCTCTTATTTGCTAGTTAATGGAGCCTTACAACCTAATGCTGTATCTTTTCATTAAATCATTATTGAAGCTAGTATTCTTGAAATGTTGAATCATCCACATTCTATTTAGTATTGTAGAAGTATTGTCAGATCAAACGCCATAGTGGATGGCTCAAAAAATATGAGTAGGAAGCATGGTAAATTAATATGCTACCAGAGTAAGAATTTGCTTAGGATCCCTGCTGGTGATAAACTCCCCCACAATAATTTTTTCAACAAATTTTCGTATTAGTGCATTAATATGTAATAATTGTTAACTATTTTATAAATGATATACTATAGTAATACTATAATAATAAATAAATAATATATTATTATTATTATTATTATTATTATTATTATTATTATTATTATTATTATTATTATTATTTTGATTCATATTTTACAAAATAGATTATGAATTTTTTTAAATTGCCACTCCACCAAAATGTATTAAAATACATTTTTGTATGTAAATATTGTAGTATTATGTTTGTAAATTAAAAGGCTATAGTTTTATTTTTATAATAATTTTGATTACATGGGTATAATATTTCAATATTAAAGGGCCCCATGGTTAGATCACATTTAGTGCTTCTGAAGATATTAATCAGTCAAATTAATCCTGAGTGGGAAAGAATGAGGAAGTAAGAATCAAACATGTACAGAGTCCATTCAGGTAGAGTTTTAACAAATTCTCAATATATTTTTTAATACCTACTAGATTTACATTTATTTGGAACACAGATTATCATGATTCCCCTTGATCCTTAAGACTTTCTTATATCACAATACTTCTTCTTACACAATTCTTTTATATTGTTTTAATAATATATAATAGTTTACAAATTACAAATACATTTTGTCACTGTTTAAAAAGCAATGTATAAAGTGGGTGTGTTATCACTAAAGCAAGAAATTTAATTCTTGCTGTTATAACTTGAATGATAAATTTAATAAATACATTTCATTTTATGTTGAATCAAGTAAGGATGGCTAGAGGTTTGGGGTTAAAATGTCATGTATCAATTCCCAAAAGCGTCTGCGAAAAAAGGAAAAAATCAGGAATTGTTCTTGTTTACAGAAATAATGTTTTTTTAATGTGTAGCTAAGAGCCCCTTTCAAAATTTTAAGGCGGGCCAGGACCCCTCTACACATGCCTGTGAACAATACTCCAATGGGCTCAAATTCTGTTCCTGAAGAGGAACACAAAACTAAATATTTCCATTTACTGTCCAAGAGACGGAGATCACTATTGCTTTCTAGACCTATAATCAAGAAACACATATATCAGTAAATTAAGGCATACATAATGAATGAAAAGAATTGAAAAGTTCTGTGGAAGGAACTCAGTTTCAGAGCTGTTGTAAACATTCAGCCAATTTGTATCCAGTATTTTGTTCAGTGTATTTTAGTCAGTATTTTACGTAATCTTAATCTCATACCAGTTAGACACATGTTCTTGTCATTTGTTTGGTCACCATGCTTTTTAAAATACATTTTTAGGCTTGAAACTGTTCAGCACAAGTTCTTCAGATTTTCTGCCTCTGTATCGTGTGTGCAGGATCCTTTTTTGACTCGTGAATGTGGTATGATTGCCTCAAAATTGGGGAAACTTATGTTTAAACTTATTTAGTTTAAACTTATAAATGGTAAAAGTGATTGCTCCCTTTTACTAAATGGATTGGATTTCAAAGTGCCACAGTTTATAACTTTAGAAATCACTGTTTTTTTCCAACAACAACAATAAGCGAGAGAGTTCACCTCCAACAATCAGATTTGCAGAATATGTAAAATTGCTGATGAGGTGAACCAGAGACGTAAATGCCAACATTTTGGTTTTCGAAAAGGTAGTAAGGAGCTTGCATTTTGAACATGGTTAATTGTAATTCCCATCATACAGTTATCAGTGATATTAAGCAATTTTATTTTACACTTTATTATTTCTTATTTACTTGTTTATTTTTTACTTTCTAAATTATTTTTGGTCTATCTCAATTATAGTTTACTTTTAACTTTAGTCCAATATGTCTTATTTTGAAATGTTTGATTTTACTAGATGAACAAATTGTCTGTTAAATTATAATAAATAATAAACAAATATTTAATTAAAACTTTTGACATTGATGTATTGGACCCGAGTATCTACCACTTAAACTTTCAATAACTATAATTTTAAAACCTTGATATTAGATACCTTTATTCATTTGATACGTGTGGTAATGAGATAAATGCATCTTTTACCTTGTGGTAATGTGTAAATGTAGTAATGTATGGTAATGTGTAAATGTGATGTGCCAAAAAATGAAACTAGACAATTTCCAGTTCCTAGAAAAAATATCTAAAATTAATAGGTAGATATTATTATGGCATAAAATTAATTTTTTTATGAATAAAAACAAGAATACATGCAATAGTACCTTTTTTATAATCATATTAGGTATTGTGTGAGTATGTCAAAATGATAAAAAATTGAAAGGCATTTCAATTTGAAAAATTAATATTGTTTTTTCTATTTTTCAGTAAAACTGAAGAAAACTTAGAAGTTGTTTGGCGTGCAGCAACTTCAGAAGACATCCATATTAAAGAAACATTAAAGCAGGTGAATTTTCACCCAAATACTAGCCATGTTAAATTTTACAAAGGAAGTGACTCATCAAACGGTACAATTTAATTTCAAAAATGTCTGAATTATTACTCTTTTCATGATTTATACTATTTACTTGTAGGTAACATTAATGTGAAAAAACTCAGGGTTTTAAGTTATTGTAGTGAGATTTCGTCCCATGAAATACAAAACAATCATGTGGAATGTTGCAGATCAGTGAATTTGATACTTCTAGTATATTCTTAGCTTAGAACTGCCAAAGATTTAAAGTCTTAAAAAAATATTACTTGTATAAGTAATCAAAATCCTGTAATAGAGATACATATTTTTATTTCTGCTTTCAAGAAAAAAGCCAGCAAAATATATTATTTTCTATAAATATTAGAGGCATTACACCAGCCTGTTATGTAAGCTGTATAGTATATAGTTCATATATCAGAAATTTGAGGTATTCTGAAAAGTTACCTGAAACTATGGTTGTGCACTTATTCCTGTTGATAATTATTGTGATGTGTTGTTTGCTTTTATATTTATTTTTGTAATTAGAATATTTTTCTAATACTATTCTCTAGTCAATATAAGAAATAATTGAAATTACTGTGCTGCAATTAGAGTTTGTCTGACATCCAGGCAAATTAATTTTGCAATGCAATTTCAAGCTTTATAGGATCTTCCAGAGAGAGTATCATACATATTGAAAACTAACAGAATGCTTCATTTCTTGTATGCCAAATATATTGAACTGTGCAAATAAAATAATATATCATGTTTTCCACCAACAAATACTAATTGTCTCTTTATCTTGTTCATGAAAATGTCGCTTATATTGTGACTAAATATATTTATATTTATTGACCTTTCCTGTGTTGTGTGTACCCAATAATTATACAAATAAAAGTTTTTTTTTTACTGAAGAAAAAAATTGTTTCTGCTTGATCTTTTTCAACATTATCCTTTAAGTTGAGATTTCACACAATTTGTTAATAGAGTAGATACTCGATTTGCCCTTCTCCATATTGATTTATTTTTTTTAGTTTCAAGAACTTTGCGAATATTATCAACCTTCATGTCTTCTTAATTCAGAAATGTTACTAGAGTGTTCTTCATTTTCTTTTTATTCTAGTTCAGCATTAACCAATCTGTGATCTGCAAATGAATGATGGATGATTCATGAGTTTACTGATCCATGGTAGTCCACAGAATATATGAATATCGTTTTTTTTATCATTATTTGTTAGTAATAAAGCTAAAAAATCATGAAGGAACAAATAATTGTTTTTATAATAATATTTAATTCTTAAATAAACTTTAAAGCTTTTGAAATAATGATACTGGCTAATAATTAAATAGGTGAAAACCAGAACGCTATAAGTGACATTTTAAAATATCTGAGAAAAACATGTTTATTTTAGGCTATATTTCAGTGGGAATGTATTTTTTTAGTTTTAACAAACAATTGAAGTGCTGTGGTTTACTGATGAAACAAAGCACCACAGCAGTACGCTCTGAAGAATACCACAATACGCTGGCCGAAATGTTAGCCACCATGCCAGTGACACGGCTCACCCCGGATAGCCTAGACAACACAAAGCACCACAACTTTACAGTAATATTTACTTAAATAGATTTCTTAGAATTTATAAAATGTCACTTATACTGTTCTGTTTTTACCCATTCAGTTTTTTTTCTTATGCAATCTTTAAATTTGTTTTTATAATATAAGCATTTATAATTTATTAATATTAATTAGGAGGAATTTATTTTTATAAATTCGATAGTTCTCTGTTAATTTACACAAAGGTAAACATTTTGAAAACATTTTATGTCATTAGTCCTTGTTTTTCAAAACTATTCATGTAGTGGTCTGCATGGTTCAAGGTTGGTGACAATGAATTAAGAAATTGTTAGTATATAAGTGAAAGAACACAATGTTTACATTTATACTAAAAATATAGGTGTATGTGGGTATTTTAAATAATAATATTAATTATTAAAATGATTTCGTAAAAATGAAAGTTAAAGACTTACAAACATTAAGAAATAGTTATCAGGCTTTTGATTACATTTTTCTTAATGAAATCTGCAATTTGTTAAAGAATTCAACTTCCTTGTTACTAATTTCTTAGTTGTGAAGGTCTATTTTGAAGTGTTTGACAATCTTTAGAACATTCCGATTTATTTAAAAATTGTACTGGCTGGATTACTTCTGTTGCGGAATGAAATCAAGTAATTAAACTTATAGTTTGTAGCCTAATAATACAAAGCTTGTTCTATCATGTTGTAGGCAGATTATTAAAAGCTATGAAAATGCATCGGAGGCAATTTTTAAATTAAAATTTCTGTACTGACATATTTTGCACACTTTTAATTTGTTTAATTTTTCTCTCCTACACATGGGAACAAGCCTTTTTGACTTTTAATTTTCCCGCTGGGCACGAATCGCGAAATTCATTCTGGGGGTGTGCTGCTCTCTACACGTGGACCTAGTAACACTCAATGCTTCTTCAAAAAGTTAATTATATATATCGTGAGAAGCATTGCTGCAATAAAACTGATATTTACCTACGAAAATATTTCGTGACAAACTGCTATTTCAATTGTTATCGTGCATTATATTATAATTTTCGAATTGCACGTTCATGTACCTACTGCGCAGAACACCCAAACGCTGGTGACATTTGCAAACGGTTGGCCACACGAAATCGTGCACCGTGGGCGTGAAACGTAAGCATTTCGATAGCAACATGATGTGGACAGGAATATGACAAGTTGTGGTGACGTATTCCTGTGTAAACTTGTGATTGCAGGTGAACAGAAAAGATATTGACAATTTTTTATTAAGAAATGTTCAGTCGCGAAGTAAACTGAGTACTTTTAACGCAAAACCGGCAATATTAATACACTACTTTGTATCCATAAGAGGTTTATCCATCGAGACCTGAAACAAATGATCGCTAAAAACGACGCACTCTAACGCGCAAACCTACCACGGGAAACGGCGTTATGCTGTTGTTTTTTTTAGTCGTTTGCGCGGACGTCGCCGACATGAGCGCCGCCCTCCTCAGTAGCGGCGAGCGCGCACACTAGCGAGACAGTCGCCCGGCCGCTCGGCTGTGATGCAGGAAGTAGGAAGTGTGCGCGGGTGGTGTGGTGTCGCGTGTGCGAGTGTAACTCGGGACTGATGAGGCGAATTATTTGGTTATGTTTTGCGTAAAAGCTGCGTGACCTTCAGCGTCATGGAGTTCGACTTGGACGGGAGCTTGAAGGAGTGGGCAAAGGATAAACCCTTGAGCATCCTTCAACTCGACCCAGCTGATCGAGCGGTCCTGCGTATTGCCGGTAAGGTTCTTCTCATTCAGCGAGTGATAAAAATAAAACATTTGCCGCATAATGCTGTTTTTTTGCTGTTGTTAATTATAATTTTCGCGCGTGTTCGTGAATTATCGAAGAAAACTGTGAGGGCATTTTGCAGGCCGCTTTTGACATCGTGTTTATTGATTCTCGGTAGACGCACCTATGCGTACATTGTCACCGCGCTCTTCTCCGCTTGCTGCGTATCGCGGATTTTCAGTGCATTTCTCACGTATGTGTGAACGCGATGACGCGAAAGACAGCGCATGTTCAACGTAACAGACCCGCAAGAACCCCAGAACCAATATTGTTGCTCATTCGACCAACTTTTTCTCCTGGAACTACGAGCGTATTCTCAAAAATGCAAATCGATTCTGTCGGAACCAAACAATGCTATTTCGCTTCTCGCTTTTCCAATAAACCGCGGCGCGATAAGGTGGCGAGCGGCGCTATCGTTACGTGAAGAGGCCAGGCCACGTTCCCAGATGATAGCGGTAGCTGCGCGTCGCGGGGGGAAAGGAAATCGAGCGCGGGTGGGAGGAGGCAGGCCGATAGGGGGCATCGGCACTGCATCGTCTGTCACATGGCGCGCACGCAACGTCGCCGGGCTGCCGTCGTGGACGCCGCGCCGCGGCATCTGGGTGCGTGTAGCTGGAGGAGAAGGGGGGGGGGGGATTCGCCGGTCCAGACGCCGTGCGGAGTGACGCGTGAACCGGGAATGCGTTCGTTTGGAAACATCCGGCCGACCCCACACGCGGCGATTTGCGAGCGTCTGCTGTAGCTAAAAAAATGCTGTTGACAGAATTTTCATCTCGGGTGTGATTGTAAACGAGTTAGATTGCATTGTGACGGATGGTTTATTTTAAGGCAATCAACTGTCATATATGCCAGTAATCTTCATTTCCAAATTTCTTCCAAACTACGTTTTTTTAAAGTATTTGTATCATTCCTCAGGTGTTTGAAAAGTTCACAAATACCTTATCCTCCCTACGTCACATACAGTTTTTACTGTTTTTTGACTGAATAAATCTAAATCGATAAGTGGTATATCGCACCTCCAATAGGAAAGTGACACAAGTGCGAAATCGTCATTTTTCAGCTAAAAGCTGAAAAGATTGTACCAACAGGTACTGCTATTATTCTGAAGTTGATTTTGAGTTAGTTCAATTACTGTCCGCTACGAGGTGAATATTTGGTACAATCTATAACGAGTATTACAGAACTACGAAACTTAAAATTGCAATTTCTGAGAAGTCAGAAATTCGCTCTTGTGTCACTTTTCTACTGAGGGCGGGATATGTTAGAAATGTACTGCATTGTTAAAATTCGTACACGTTTTTCTTATTTAAAGTATTAAGAAAATAATTATAAAACCTTTACAAATATTTCTGGCATCTGTGTCTTTTGTTTGCTTTAAGTATAAATGAACCATCACTTTGCATTCTAGACAGATTTTTGTTCCTGTGGATACTTGGAAAATGAAGTTGACAACGAAAGAGACTCATTAACTTTGCTAAACATAGTTACTGGATTTTGAGTTTAATCTTAACTTGTGAAAAATCAATTTAATTTATTTTTGGTTTTTTCTCGACCAAAATTATGAACCTCTGCACTTAAAAAAAACAAGAAGTCGTACAGTAGTGAAATGGGCGAGAGCCTCGCAGCTACGTGCATGTTGCTTGTGCAGCTGATTTTCGCGTTAGCAAGGGTGGCAGTTCCGAAGTTCGAACAGTGTTCGGAGAAAAACAGCTGAATATTGTAGAGGAAGCTAACTAATGCGCTTCAGCATCACGATGTTTACGGCAATAATTCCGAAGTTTGAGAGAACATTATTAAAACAATGAAGTAAATGTTCTTCGGGATGAATCATAAATGTTCCGCAAGATGTATCTAAAACAATTGATGTATCGATTTTATTTTGGAGAGTTTTATGAGACAGACAAAAATCAGGACGTAAATTGTTTTGGAGTCTTCTCTAATTACGCAACTCAAGTTTGGATGAGCTTTATGAGAAATATTCGCCAAATAGTTTGTTATGAAGTTCAAGAAAATTATTGCTGTTGGAATTCTGACATATTGCTTCCGAAGTGAATCCGAAGTACACATTTATTGTTCTGAAAAATTAAATGTTCCGCAAATTTATTTTATCGTTTTCCATGGAGGCTAGAGGAACAAATGATTTTAGTTGACACTCGGTAAATTCGATATCAATAAAGAACCAGCCAACATATTGATTTCTAAACGAAATGGAGGAGTTTTCAACACGTAGAAGCGATAACAATTAGAAGAGAGGAAGCAAGCTGGAAAACATTCGCTAATTTAACTTATTTTTCTTTTCTTTTTTTAAATGAAAAATAAAATAATTTCTGCCGTTCAGGGGTGTTCAGAATACAAAATTTTAATCATTAACTTTCAGGGATGGACATCCGTATGCGTTACCTCCTTTCTCAGGGGTTTGATGATACATTTTAATTAACCAGTGAAAGAAACTGTAGATAAGTTTGCGGAGTTAATTGTGACAATTTTTAAGGGCGGGGGAGCTGTTAGTGGGTGGAATTTTAGGGAAGGGGAAGATGGGTAAATGATGTAAGGTGGACGAAGGGAGTCTTTAGAGAATCGTGATCTTATAATTTTTGACGAACTGTACGTTGTACATTGTTGGAATATTTTCATTGAAATAAAACATAATTTCTCAGAAATAGAACTGATAATTTTTCTGAAATAAAACAATAAACCTGCATTTTAGTTTAGTCAGTGTTTGTAACTTAGCTTTCCTTGAATGGTAGCTGACATTTCTTGTGATTTGAAGTTCAAAATTCCCCGGGTACTTACAAGGTTCTATGCTTTTGAGCTGTCGCGAACTGGAAAAAGATCAAAGAAAATCAAAGATATTTTTCTCTCTTTTTTCTTCTCTTCGTATTTTTAATGTAATTTTTACCCCCTCAAAAACCTTTTCGGGTACTGGCGTGACAAAAAGTAATGTTTTACAGATGTATCTGAAATATCGATAGCCAAGTTTTAGATCTACGAGGCAAAGTGCACTTCTTTCAAAGTCATTAGTGAAATAAACGTAGAAGTGGAAGTGTGTGATGAAATGAACAGTGTAGTAAGATTTGTGAGTTCAAATTGTAAGCTTTTGGGGATGGTGGTTCAAAAAATGCTAGGTCAAAATACACGCACAAGTAGTACAGAACGTCACTCGTAATTTAATTATATTGTTCATTTTGGCATTTTACACAAGTGCATATAAATCATGATCGTAAAATAGGAAAAATACATAGGAATATAATCTCGAAGCAATTTTATTACGAATCATCTTTGATTCACCTACCTTATCGGAATATTTTGAAGTTTCAGCAATTGGAAGATCTGTTTTTGAGAGTTCTGTTTCTGTAGGGCGAGCAATTTTTGTTGAAACTAAAAGTTTTGTGTGTGTGTAATGTATGTGCGTAATGTATGTGCGTGCGTGCGGTTGCACATGTTCTTACACTAATTTGTAAATGGTATTTGTGCGTTATGGAGTTTCTAGAACTCCAGCTCTTACAACGCACCTGATCAATTTTGGGTTTCAAACCTATCATATCCTGCATCCCCCCTGCATCTCGATTACCCTAGAATCCTTAGATCACTTCTCATCTGGCATCCCAGGCATTATTGATGAACCATTGATTTTCTGCAAGCGAATCTTGACTATAACTGAAAGTGGGTATGAATGCATGAATGATATTGTAAAGCAAGAATATGGTAGTTTTAATTAATAAAGAAAATATGGTTGTATAAACGTCACCGCAAACCGTAGAGTCCGTACTGAGAACCCTTATTGTACACCGTAAATTCGGAAAGGAGTTGCGGGGTTTCGAACCCAGAGGTTGTAAGAGAGCATGCCTCCCTCAGAGTTTCTGAGCAGAGTAGTAGATATAGAGCAGTTACTTTTATAAAGCACCACTTTGACAGGTCGGGAAACTAAAGAACGTCATGCAGGTCGATGACATTGCAAGAGTGATGAAGCAATGTGCTATGATGATAGTGATGAAGCAATGTGCTATGAGCTAACTAAACGAACGCAATGACAAAATGAATGCATGGTCGTAAATTGCCGTGATAGTGACAAAAGTGACCAAGTAGTACCTGCCAAAGCGGCCCCTTATAAAAATCTCGCTATACAATTAACAATTGCGATTAAGAAATCAATATTTTGTTTTACAAAAATAAACATTTGCCTTTATTCGTTTAAGTCTGGATGTTTTCATTTGTTTAAGATTATTACTAGTAATAAAAGAACTATCTCAGCATTGCTCTAGGGATAGCAAGGAGAAAACGTTTGCTGAGTTATCTATTATATTTTATATTATATATTATATATTATCGTCTGCGTATTTACAAGCATCGTAATAGGTGAATTGTGTGTAATCTGTCGGGTGTTCGTATCCTCGTTTTAATTCTGAATATTTTGCAATGAAACAAAGATTGAAATAATTTCTAGATTACGCATGTTAATTGATGCTATACTGTAATTTCGTATTACAATGAATGCGTCCCGTTCCACCTTTTGTGCTAAATGTATGAACTAGATGTTTTGGAACCGTTGGATATTGGATGCTTTAATTAAGACAATAACGAAGCTGATTTTCTAAAGAAATATCCAGCACAGTGTCGTAAGTAAATGTATTTTAAAGTAGGCGAGTTTTTAATCCTTTTTATTGCAAGAAGAACCCTTTTTCCTTTCTATTTTTTAAATTTGATTTTTATCAGACAAAACCTTTTCACTTTTTTCCTACCGCTTAAGCAGTAGAGAGAAAGTTTGGAAAAAGCGCGGAAAAGCTGCACATTTTAGGAAAACAAACTTACTAAAGGGCCTTGGTAGCGAAAAGTAGGATACATACAGTTTAGTAATAATATGCTTAATTTATAGAAGCAAATCCTTTAACTCGTGGTGTAGCCAGAATCAATGATTAGTGGGTCCTTGATAGCGAAAAATCGAATAATGGCAAAACATCTGACCATCTTTGAACAACACTAGCGGCTAAACCGTTCAGCGTATTTTCTCCAAATTTAATCCTGCCCTCTCATCTGGCTGATGTTGCGGCACCTTGCATTTGAAACCGATATTATAATTTTGGGGGGTACTTTTCAAGGGGTCCCTGGGACATTTTCAAAAAAGTGGTTCCATAGTTTTTGATTACATGTTATTGGATAGTGTGAAGGACGTTTAAGAAAATGGTAGAGGACTCGTTTTCATTGAAAACAATTATTCAAAAATTACAAAAATTCAAAATTTGTTCTTTGTCTTCTTACAACCATAATTATGAAGATCTTTTTTAAATGAAATCTGTTCCTTAAAGATACATTTAGAATTAAGGTCATTTACAATTTTTCGAAAATTAGTGTATTTTCGCGTAATTTTGCGTGAATGTACGAGTGAGAAAGTACATGCTGTTTAAGCACCACTCGTTACTTTTCGCTACTATGCTATTGGTTAGGGAGGAAAAGGACTTACCAGGGGGGAAAATACGATCTCGAATTTTCGGTCGTAAAATCGCGTTTAAGGTTCTTGTAAGTTGTGACTTCCTTCGCGCACGCGTCAGAAAGAAAGTCTGGTCAAGTTTGGGGCAGGTGACGAGGACATACACGCGAGTTCATACTCCAAAATCAGGATGGTTGGATGGGTGGATGTGTGTGTCATGCATAACTTAAGTCTCATTAGAGTTGTTTGAGCTGAAACTTGATAGATATGCCAGGAGTAAGATCTAGTTGTGCTGCTTCGGAAATAATTAAGATATT